CTAACCATTTATTGGGTACCTACTGTGTGCCGAGCCCTCAGTGATTTTCTGCCTAGGAATGTCAAACACGGCGTTCAACAAATCTTTGAAATGAGGAAGAGTCTTGCCCAGCTGAGGTCCTGCTGACTTCAAGTTCAGTGTTCATCTCGTTCCACTAGTAAGCTTCCCGGCTTAAACTTTATTACCAAAATTTATTGTTCTTTCCATATACCCCAGCCGCACCCCCAAATCTGTGCTCTTGCTTTCCTCTTCCACCTTATCTGACACGGGCCTACCTGCAGTCTCATGAGCACCTTTCTGTCCACCAAACTCTCAGAACTTGGGCAGCCTCCAGACATTTGCACATGCCGTCCCACCTCCCCTCTGTGTGCATGGGACTTCCTTACCCAGTTTTTTTTTACGTGGCTGGCACCTTCTCATTGTATCTATGTTCTCCCTCTCTGAGAGGCCTTGCCTGATCACCTTACTAAATTAACACCTTGTTCCTGGACACCCTCCATGTCCTCATTTTATTTCTTTCACGTTTATCACTATCCATTAATTAATTCAACAAATAATTCTTGATCACCTACTTAGGTTCTTCATGCGTGGTGTTGAACAAATGGGCAAAAATCCTGTCCCCTGGCGGAGTTTGGGGAAAGAGAGGCAGGCAACAGACAATAAACATGCAAATAAGCCATGTGGTATATTAGAAGGTTATAAGTCCTATAAGGGAAAGAGAACAGGGTAAGGAAAGGAAGGTATAGGGAGTGCAGTTTTCAATGAGGTGGTCTGATCAGCCCGTGAGAGGTGACATTGAGAAGGTGACCGCCAGCCCCGCAGAGGGAACAGCCAGTGCAAAGACACTAAAGAGCAGCACGAGGAAGACAGTAGAACAAGATGAGGTCGGCAACTGACTTTTCCTCTCATTTGCTTACTTATTGTGTATTCACCTAGGGAATTTCAGCTCTGGAGCTGTATAGCCCTGTCTTCTCTGCCGTGTCCCAGCTCGGGTACAGCAGCACGTGGCTCACGGTAAGTGCTCAGAAACGACTTTGTTGAATGAATATGTGAATGGAGGGATGGACTGATGTCTGGAACCGTCCGGACCAGACTAAGGTCGGCCCAGGGCTAGTCAGTGGCCGCCGGCAGCGCCTGGTACCTCATTTTGGTCCTTGTCCCCGAGTTGCATGTCCCTGGGTATCGCCACTGCAGCGGGCGCCGCCTGAGCGTCGCGTCGGGGGGGAATTCCGACCGAGTCAAGGAGCATCAGGAACCGGACCCGCCCCACGCCCCGCCCTTTGGTCGCTAGCAAAACCTGGAACCGCGGCGCCAGCCCAGCCCCACTGAGGCGCTTGGGTAGCTCACTGGGCATGCTCCGAGCTGGGCTGAGCGCCAGTGCCCCAGAGGAGTCTCCCGGTGGGGTACGCAACGCGCCAGCGGAGCCCTGCCTGACGCTCAGCCCTACTTTGTTTCTCGAAGCTTTCTTGAGGGTCTGGGGCATTTTTTTTTTTTTTTTTCAAAGCTCAAAGGGAAAGCTGGGAATTTAGAATCGGCCAAAGGCGTTCTCAGGCCCCTCCGCTGTGTGATCTGGAGCAAGCATCTTACTCTCTCTGGTGCTTCCAGTAACACAAATATCCGTCAGTCTGATCTGGGCAGAATTTGGGGATTGAATGAAACAAAAAACGTGAACACGTTTAATCCACTTTAAAGATCCATTTCGTGAGGGCCCGCCTCAGCTATCTGCCATCTGCATACCAGTTTGCCAAGTGCTAACATAAGGAAACGGAGGTTAAGGGGCATGTGGATTCTTGGAGTTGTCTCAATTTGCCTTTTATGAGAAACTAGGCTGAAACTACCTTTTCTTTCCCCACATTCAACGGTCACTAGTTTAAACAGTGTTCTTAAATTCGAGCTAAAATTCATCTATACACCTAAGGAAAAAAGACCTAAATCTTTTCAAAATCATGCCTTTCAATCACCATAACAGAAATAGGAACAAAAGAATATTCCCCAAACCGGAAGCAAATGAATGTCCACAAATAGTGGAATGATCAATTAGGTTATGGTGTGTTTTTTGAAATAATAACTAGTTTATACTAAGCTAGACCAAATTGCAACTGGGGAAACCATAGCACAGTACAATGTTAAGCGGAAAAAAAGCTGAAAACACAAATATATTGCATAAAGAATATGTCTACACAGTCACCCAGACTAGAAGGAAATATGGAAAAATGTCAATGGTTTAATTTTGGGGGTTGTGGGTTGGTATCTCTTTGTAAATTTATCTATTATTGTCACAATGTTGTGTTTGCAATACTAAACATTAGAGGACCAAATTAAAAATTCGCAAAGTTTTGTGTAAGTCTAATAATAATAATAATAATAACAACAACAACAACAACTGTTATCAAGTGTGCTTGATATTTTAAATATACTCTGTCTTTAATCCTTACAGTAACTTTGCAGAATGGGTGTATCTAGCTCAGTTTTACAGAAGAGGAAACAACCTAGGAGCCATTTACAACTAGTAAGAGACAGGGTCAGGACTGAACACAGTTGGTCTGACCTCAAAGCCAGGGTGTTAGGTTTTATAATACTGCCTCTCTGTGTAGTAGCTTACCATGTATTGGTCGTAAAAGAAGGTATATATCATTTCATCTTGCGCTTTTTTTTGCCTTATTTTCTCTACCCTTTGATGTGTTTGTAGGCTACAGATTGCCTTTAAATGTTCTGGTCTCCTGTTACTACTTTATTTTTTAAAATGTTTGTTTTTGAAAGAGAGAGGGGCACCTGGGTGGCTCAGTCGGTTGAGCGTCTGACTTCGGCTCAGGTCATGATCTCGAGGTTCATGAGTTTGAGCCCTGCGTCGGGCTCTGAGCTGTCAGCACAGAGCCTGGAGCTTGCTTTGGATTCTGTGTCTCCTTCTCTCTCTGTCCCTCCCCCGCTTGCACTCTGTCTCTCTGTCTCTCTCTCAAAAATAAATAAACATTGGACAAAATTAAAAGAAAAAAAGAGAGAGTCCATGCAAGTACATGTGAGTGGAGGAGGGGCAGAGAAAGAGGGAGATAGAGAATCCCAAGCAGGCTTCATGCTGTTACCACAGAGCCCAACACAGGGCTTGAACTCACAGAACTATGAGATCATGACCTGAGCCAAAATCAAGAGTCTGACACTTGACTAACTGAGCTACTCAGGCACCCTACTATTTTATTGTTGGATCAAATTGTTAAAGTCCATCCTTTTCAGACATTGCACCTGGAGTGACATGATGTTATTATCAACAGTGACAGTTAATCTTATATCATAAGGTCCCAAACTGTATAGAAAGGAAGCTTTTGGATGGAGACATAATCATCTTAGTCTATGTGGTTGAACCTAGCCAAATCAAGAGCAAATAGAGGCCTCATTGGGAGTAGGGCTATCCCAAATCTCAACAAGGCCAGTCCAGATAGGACCCACATAAATTATTCTTCCTGGGTAATCATTTTGGAGTCAGAGTCACAACATAGTAGAACCACATGGTCCACAGACTCTTAGAACTTTGCTGTGATGAAAAGATACAGAGCCGATAGTGCTGATGATGTTTGCCAAGCGAAGGCCGGGGCCCTAAGAGCAGACCTCCTACTGCTGATAAGCAAAAAAAAAGAAAAAAAAAAAAATCTTTTAGTAATGCCCTGGCCCAGCAGTCACTAAACAAGAAACACGAGAAGCCAAAAAAGGTCATTTCCTTGGACAGGAAGGTATGCCACAAACCCAATATGTATCACTGGTAATGGACCAGATTGGTACAAGAGGAATATGAGATTTGCAACTGGACACAATTATTAGCATATTCCCAGAAGCTGCCATTTGGACAGAAAATCTGGTGCCAAACAGTGCACATAGGCAATTGGCTGGGGGCATTTATAGGAAGAGTTTCCTGGAAGAATCACGGAGGATTGTCATTCACTTCAAGACTCAGGAAGTCTGGGCACCACGTGGACTGTTTCAATGATTTACAGAGCAGGACTCCCAGCTGAGATGCTAATGCTCATCAATTATTTGTGCTGTTAATGCAAGCTTATGAAGGACCTAAGCATCAGCAAATACATGGGCAAGCGGTGCTGTTATAATGACAAATGAAAAGAATACGATGTAAAATTATATGCGTAGTATGGTTTCCACTGTGCAGAGAGGGAGACACAGAATTACTAAGTTAAACCATACAAAACTGCCATTTCATAGGTCAATAATGGTTGAATGTTGGCAACTTTCTGTATTTCAGCTTAATACATACACACAGAAAAAAACTAGAAAGAACTGAACCCAAATATGAAGGGCGACTCTGTCTAAGCATTGCTTTTGCAGGCAGAGAAACAAGATACAGAAGGTATCTTTTGTAAATCAGGAGAATCTTGTCTTTGGGCATCTATTTCTTTGTTATGTCTTTATAGTTTCCTAAAGCTTATTTTAGCTTTCATTATCAGGAAAAATGAAACAAACATTAAAAGTTGACAAGCCAAACAAAATGATGTAAAGAGAGGGAAATGGCTACTCTGGAATTGAATAAAAACGTGAAAGGTTTCTTTCACAGAGGGTGAAGCCCACCCTGCCCTCTCCAGCAGTGGCAGATGATGACAGAATGTCTGTTCCTGGCCCAAGAGGGAGGGAGAGGAAGAAGTGATCAGTGGTCAATTTAGAGACGTGGTAGTCTGACTTGGGACCCAGCTCATCCCCTCAGCCTGTGTTCTTGGGACTTCTGGACTTCACAGATTTCACTTTGAGAAACACAAATTGTCAGCCTAAAGTTTTATCCATTGAAAAATGCCTTTTCCTTGCAAATTATCACTGCCAAAGGAGCTTTGTCTGTTAAACGGATGAACAAACTTAGCATGGGTACAAGAGCAGTGCTGTGGATTCGTTCATTCATTCATCACATATTTATTAAGCACTTTCTGTATGCCAGGCACTGCTCTAAGTGCTGGGGAGACATAAATGAACAAAAGAAACAATAATCTCTGCTCTCCTGGGCATGCCTTCTACCAGGGCAAGCCAGACAATGAGCAGCAAGCATGATAAACAAGTGAATTATATTGTATGTTAAGAGACCAGGGGTAAGGCTGATAGGGAGGGTGCTAGAGAGGGAGGTGGGGAGTTGCAATTTTAAATAGGATTGAGAAATTTAAATTTTTTTTTTTTTCAACGTTTATTTATTTTTGGGACAGAGCATGAACGGGGGAGGGGCAGAGAGAGAGGGAGACACAGAATCGGAAACAGGCTCCAGGCTCTGAGCCATCAGCCCAGAGCCCGACGCGGGGCTCGAACTCACAGACTGCGAGATCGTGACCTGGCTGAAGTCGGACGCTTAACCGACTGCGCCACCCAGGCGCCCCTAGGATTGAGAAATTTAGACACTTAAGCAATTTAGTCTCTGAAGAAGATGAGGGAGTGACTCATGTAGATATCTGGGGGAAGAATCTGGGTAGAGGGAACAGCCAGTACAAAGGCCCTTAAGGAAGCATATCCAGAATCAGAAGGCTGGTGAGAAAAGGGCCAAAGCTGCAGATCTGCTGCCAAAGAGTTACCAGGGGCAAGAACTTGAGGGCCCTCCCCTGTGAGCTGCAGGAAGAACTCAGCCTCTCTGTGTGAGCTAGACAGAAGCCAAGCCAATGTCATGGTTGCCAAATGTGCTTCTCAACACAATCAGATGTTGAATGCTGTCCCTGTAGATGGTTACTAGATGATGGTAAACATAGATTTGAATAAGGGAACTGAAATCATGTAGCAGGCCTCTGTTGTAAGGGAGTCAGCCGTATGATCCAGAGTATGCATGTATTTTTAATATTATCACATAAGTGCGAAGATAACATAGACAATTATTCAGATGGTTCTCAGACCTTCAAGAACACTTGAGTGAACCCTTAGGAATACACAGACCTGAATTAGAAAACACTGTAGATATGCCAGAGGACCAGAAGGACTATACCAGGCCCACAGACCACCACATGGATTTGCTGCTACACAAGAAATGGAAAAGTAAGTCTAGGGACTTTGAGATCCTGCTCCGGAAACTCAGCAGAAGGAGGTGGCTTCAGAAACAAAGAGAAATGATGAGAAATGCAGGCAATGAGAGTTGGTATCCTGAACTGTCGCTGCTGGTACTTAAGCAATGGGCAGTGTCTTCTTACAAACCAGGGAGAATGGGTTTTGTCAAGTCTGTCAGCCACACCTTCAAGGTTCATGTGTCCAACAACAATAGGAGACAGAGAAAAATACCCAGGCCATGTAGACTAGTCATACAGAGGTCATGGCTTTGAAAAAGCAGCAATGATAACAGAAACACTCAAGGATTACCCTAAGAGAAGATTCTAGGGAGAAGAGTCAGGGAAAATACTGAAAGCAGCATTTAAAAAATTTTGATCCAGGAACCATATATCAAGATCATCTTGAGAAAAGGAGTCTTCATGTAAAAGCAGACTTCGGGTCTCTGCTCAGACCTTCTGATTCTGCTTGTGGACCCCCAAGAACCTGCATTTTATAATTAACCATAAGAATCTTCTGTACACTGAAGTTTTATAACTTCTGTCCTGCAGCCTCCGAAGTACGTACACTAAGAACACTGTGTGAGTGATAAACTAAGAGGATGGAAAATTTTACCAAGAGATAATCATGGTCTTGTAAGTATCGCGGATGCTTGGATGGATAGGACAAAGGACCAGAGCGTCAGCTTCTTAAACATTTAAAGGGGTAGAAGAGGAGGGGACAGGGAGGTAGAGAGAGGGCATCCCCTGTAGGCAAATGGGGACCCCCTAGTAGAGAGCTATCAGGCTTTCTACTTTCTGCTCTTGACCTTGGATCTCAGACTCCATCCACCTGACTGTGCTGTCCTGAGGCCAGGAGGAAGCTAACAGTGTGACTGGAGAGGAGGTGTTAGTGGTGGCAGTCACAGTGGTGGTGATGTTTGCCAAGAGGGGTGGACGTTAAAATAAACACATTGGAGTGTGTAGAGCACACACAAAACTGAAACAAACTGAAACTGAGAAGGTCATTACCTCCTGAAGAGGAATTGGGCAAGTGGGGGCAGGGGAGGTATTCGTGCTTACCTTTTGCCATAAACCCTTTTGTACCTTCTGAATCATGTACCAGGTGATGGATATAACCTATTTATTAAAAAAAAATTTTTTTTAAATTTTAAGTTCATTTATTTTTGAGACAGAGAGAGACAGAGCATGAACGAGGGAGGGTCAGAGAGAGAGGGAGACACAGAATCGGAAGCAGGCTCCAGGCTCTGAGCCATCAGCCCAGAGCCCGACGCGGGGCTCAAACTCACGGACCGTGAGATCGTGGCCTGAGCCAAAGTCGGACACTCAACTGACTGAGCCACCCAGGCGCCCCAGGATATAACCTATTTAAAATCCACTTTTTTCCTCTGGAAAAAAAAATAATGACGTATGCATAATATTTAAAAAAATTATTTTGTTTTACATTTTGGCTCCCCCTAAATTTTACTAACCAAGTACAAAGCCCAGGTTACTTGACAAGTAGAGGCCGTAACTATGACCAAGGCACAACACAGTATAGCTTGCTCAAAGGAAAAAGCCATAGGTCAAGGGCTGTTACTCCTGCTGGAAATGCATGTGGCTAAGGAATTAAATAGAAAAAGGCTTTGGATGAGGATAAAGGAGTAAGAAAAATCACTTCAGTGATCTCGAGATCAAGAATGATGCTTTCCTGACATAGCTGGTCAGAAAATGGCTGGGGAAGTCAGATGGAAAAGTTCAGCTACCCAGGCCTTGACTGGAAGTCGCAACTATGAAAAGATGATCATCTGAGATCTGTTCTAGCTTGGCTGACCATCCTATCCCAAGACGCTGGAAACCTGATCTGGGCCCAAAAGAAAACTGTGCCTCCAATCCCTGGTGACATTTCAAGAACAGGGGGCACTGTTCAGCCTGCCCAGTGCTCTGGTGACCTTCTAGTATTGCATGGATGACATACCACAGGATTTCCTCAACTGCGCCCTGGCGTCCTGCTAGGATGTTGCTCTCATTTTTTCCACGGTACACACAGTCACTGCGTTGAAGTCCAAACAGACTATCCAGTGACGCCTCTATAAACATGAGTCACATGTGAAGTTTAAGGAATCCCTGTTTGGGCAGGGACATCAGAGTTCCTACGGCATGCCATCTTCACATACAGGGTACAGGTAGATGAGAGTCGTATGATTTTCTGCCAAGATGCCTGACTTCACGCGGTAGCCACCAAGGCCTCTACCCAGATACTGCTCTCCTTCATCCCAAGCCCCCTGTTTCAGTGTGAAGTTCTCCAGCTATCCTATCAGAAAACATTACCCTCTGTCCATTTCTTTGTCTTCTTGGGCTTCTTTCATTTTGGTCTTGGATGCCACCACCTTGCCCAGCCTCAGTCAACCCAACCTAACCACCAACACCAATCTCTTTCTTGCTTCCCCTTGAGGAATGAAGGCGACCCATGTCAACCTAAAACAAATCGTTTGACCATCGCTGACTACTCAGATCCTCCCCATCCTTTAAGGTCCATCTAATAAGCTATGTCTTCCTAGATTACCCCAACTGGTTATGAGCAGTCTGATCCCTGTACCCCTGGGTATTTGGTCTGTTTTTTATGCTTCTCATCTCATGCTGACTCCCATTCAGTTGTTAATGTACATGCCCCTTTTGGAAGGCTCTTAAAAAATCCCAAGTGGGGTTTTTGAGGGAAAGAGAGAGCTCAAGCCAGGGATGGGCAGAGAAAGAGAGAGACACAGAATCCAAAGCAGGCTCCAGGCTCTGAGCTGTCAGCACAGAGCCCGACATGGGACTCAAACACATGAATAGCGAGATCATGACCTGAGCTGAAGTTGGACACTTAACCAACTGAGCCACCCAGGCGCCCCAATTATTTCTGAGCAGGGTATGCAAGAGGCTGTGAGCTTCTTCTGAAAAATTGCCCACCTTTCTGCAGTTAGCAAGAAGTTATTTTGTATCTAAAGTCCTTCTTGAGTTCTTTCTGGAATTCTGCTTGCAAGCTTAATAATTAATTGACCAATAGACAGAAAAGAGCTACAGATACCTAGGAAGTATAACGAGATATAGGATATAAGTTAAGGGAGAAATATGAGCAGTGGTGTCCTAAATAAGATATAATTAATCTATGATTAGATATAACTATGCACTTTCAATTTCTGTGTGAAACAATTAAAGGAATTAGGACATTGCCCCTGCCTCTCCACACTTGGGAGTCACCTCGTTGTGCTGGCAGAAGGTCTACAGGTCTAGGACACACCCCTTGGTTGTCTACCTGTATTGCTGAGTGAGCTAATTCCAAACCAGCTCTGGGGCCCGTGACCTTCATCTTTAGGCAGTAGGACCAGGAACAACAGGGTGGATAAAATCCATCACAGAAATTACCAGGGAATAGACGGCCGCTAAAACCTTGGTGTCTGTGGTTTCAATTTCATTGCAGTCTAGAATTGTGTATAGTCTTAACCATGGGAAGCTTCCCTAATTTTGTCAGTACCCATGACAATATTTTATTTGTTTACTATAGGGTCAATGCATTGAGAGGAGTCTTCATTTCTCTCTCAATCTTATACTATCAGAGTAACCGGCTTTCTTCGATTGCATAGGCAGACTCAGAAGCCCCTCCTTCTGCATTTAGATTCCACTAGATTTATGCTTAACACATTATATACAACTGAGCAAGCCAGCTGCCCCAAGTGTGAACTCACATCATTTCTTTTTATGCTGGGAGCCTAGATAGAATCTGGCACCTAATAAGAGTGTGATGAGTGAGAAAATTACTTGATATTAGATTGCCTTATTGATATGTTTGAGTCAGGCCAAGTCCCTTGACTTACTAAGGCCAGCATATTATTTTCCATTACACTTGGATCATTGGCCTAAAAAATGTACACAATACTAATACATATTTCAAATGCCAATTCACATGAGAGAACAATTTCCCAACAGTGCTATTTAGTTTTTTCTCAAGTTCCCTGGGTTGAGGTCAGTCTTTGTAGTTAATGTTGGGTTCCTGACCCAAACACAGACTGTGCCAGTTATGAAAAAAAAAAAAAATCAACTTTCCATGGTTTGAATACAGAGGTGACCGTGGGAACGTGTACAGCTCTGTCTCTGGTTCTGGTGAAGTCATTCAAAAACCAGTGCAGCCTGGCTATCCTGTGCACCCGCACGGAAATGAGGATAGACAAGGTCCAGCAAGAGGAAACGCACCCATTCTGCAAAGCCAGCCTTGGCATGTAGAGTGGAGGAAAGGATCCATCCCATTCATGAGGAAAGAGAGCTCTCTTGCTATTTATTAAGAAACACTGAAGTAGGGGTGCCTGGGTGGGGTGGTTCAGTCAGTTGAGTGTCTGACTTTGGCTCAGGTCATCATCTCTTGGCTCATGGGTTCCAGCCCTGTGTCAGGCTCTCTGCTGTCAGGTCTCCTCAGATCCTGTCTCCCTTTCTCTCTGCCCCTCCCCGGCACTTTTGGCTCTCTCTCTCTCTCTCTCTCTCAAAAATATTAAATAAACATTAAAAAAAGAAACACTGAAGTAATCTTGACAACTGTGCTGTATAAGGAAAAAATATGGACCCAATAGATTCAAAGGAAAAATCCAAATGCAGATAAAGACTTATGAGCAGAAATGGATTATTTTAGCACTGTTGATAATTGCTGAAAATATGAAAAGAGGGAATGAATATATAACCATATGTCCCACTGATTATCATATAAATCTTAAAATTATTTTACAAAGCGTTTGTAATGACCTGGGCAAATGCTAGTGGTATAGTTTAGATAAGGACAAAAACTATATTCATAGCATCACTTTGTAAAGAAAAACACATTTATGGGGTGCCTAGGTGGCTTGGTTAGTTGAGTATCCGACTTTGGCTCAGGTCATGATCTCACAGTTCGTGAGTTTGAGCCCTGTTTCGGGCTCTGTGGTGACAGCTTAGAGCCTGGAGCCTGCTTTGGATTCTGGACTCCCTCTCTCTCTGCCCCTCCCCCACTCATGCTCTGTCTCTCTCTCTCTCTCTCTCTCTCTCTCAAAAATAAATAAAACATTAAAAAATTAGAAAAACACATTTATGAACATAAAAAATCCTGAAAGTACAGTAGGATGTGAAGAGTATTTCTAGATAATGATATGACTGGTGTCTTAGTTTATTCAGGCTGCTATAACAAAATACCATAGACTGGGTGGCCTATAAACAACAAACATTTATTTCTTACTGTTCTGGAGGCTGGGAATTCCAAGATCAAGGCGTTGGTAGGTTGAATGTCAGGTGAGGATGTGCTTCCAAGGTTTATAGACAGCTCTCTTCTCACTGTGTTCTCACATGGAATGGGGTGAGGGAACTCTCTGGGGTCTCTTTTATAAGGGCACTGATCCCATTCATGAGGGCTCCACACTCATAAGCTAATCACGTCTCAAAGGCCCCACCTCCAAATACCATCCCATTGGGGATTAGGTTTCAACATACACATTTTGGGGGGACACATCCAGTTAATGGCAACTGGTGATTTCACATTTTTTTGATATTCTACAACATACGTATAGCACTTCAAAAATAAAAAGGAAATATTTTTAAAAACCTGTGTAACCAATAGCAAACACAAAACTTTTGCTCCCGGAGAATTGTATGGGAGG